ATATGCAATGTTGACCATCATGGCCGTCTTTCTGTTAATGTCGCGCTGCAGGCTACTTGCGGAAAGGAATGATGTCATCTGCTCCAAAATGCTTTCTTGGATCCTAGCAGTTTGGAGTGGTAGACATATCGCAAACAACTGAAGTGCCGAGTTGACGACTTCAGTCGCTGGTGGATCCGGAAGCTCATGGCTCTCGTCTGATGTTCTGATGTACAAGGATATTGAATCGTGTTCACGAGCACCACAGATGGGTGATAGAAGCGTGCGGTCAATAATCGACTCAGGTCCATGCCTCGTGAGCCAGTGATGGTGGGTACCAGTCTCTTGCTCTCCAGGAAGGGGTGTGATGTCGAACCCACGCACCAGTCCAGTGACACCGAAACCATGGTTATCAGCCACCTCCCATATGCTTTCGAACGTTCCTGCAGCACTTGCGATTGCCGTACTAAATGAGCTTGTGGTGTAGTTGTCCGGCTCTGCGAAGGATGCGATGGCGAAAGGTAACAAGTTTGTCTGGAGTAACACCTCATGACTACTTGCTGGACTCAGCTCGACAAGTTTAGTGTAACATTGAAGCACTCTCCTCCGGACCATGAGATCAAAGTCGTGAAGTTGAAGTGCGGGTGACAGCCGCTGAGACATGTCATCCGTCGTCTTCTTAGCCGGCAAGGTATTCAGGAACATTGTTGTATTTTGCAGCATCGCTGCCAGTCTTTTCGTAACGTCAAGCGTTAAGATGCGGCTGTTGAACTCCAGAAAGGTCAAGATAGAGCCTAAAGCGCACTCCCGAACATGTGCTAGGAAGCAGAGTTCTAGGTAGTTCCTTTGCACCATATTGTCTCTGTTCAGCGGTTTCGGAAGCGCATTCTTCCATAACAGGAGTAATTGGGAAAGGTGTATCTTGACAAAGTTGGGACCAAGAGTCATCAAGCCCCCGATGAGGATCCATGCAACTTGAATCTGGGTCGAACCAATCCTCAGATCTGAGTTGCTCGCAGACTTAAGGAGTGAAGTGGCTTGTTGGAGTACTCTCGAGTTTACATCTACGGACCCATGGAGTGGTTGAGACGTAGACGTGCTGAGTACGGCAGAAAGGCCGTTAGCCAGACCGACGCACTTCCTAGGCGACTGCCTTGGTCCGGCAAGGAGGCCAAGCTCTCGATTGACGCTGTTCATACAGATCGTGACTGCTGGCAGTAACTGAAGAGGGCACGCAAGCACAAAAGAGCGCAGACAGGCGGAAGCGGTCACCTGGACTGTGTAGCTCGGATGCTGCAAGACCTGAAGGAGTGCATCGCGGCAAGAGTCCGCAATGACATTTGTAGCGGATCCCAAACTATTGAAGAGTGAGGACAGCGTACTCAGTGCCCCGATCAAAGTTTGCTTTGTTGGCTCTGGTCGTTCCTTGAGCGCCTGTGGATAGTCTTTCAATATCTCATTGACCAAAAACCTTGCGGCATTGAGCTGGCCAGATTCTCCAAGCATCTCGCGGCCAATGACTGTCTCCAGTATGACGGCAACGAACTTCCTAGTGCTAAGTGTACGGTAGCGATTCTGTACAATGACATTGTTGCTGAGAATGTCCGTGAATAAGCTGCGCGCGATCTCTGGATATTTGGTTTCGACGATCTGCTCACCCAGCCCCTTGATGGTCTTGATGTAGCACACGGCAATTCCAGCTCGTGCGCGATTGCCAGCCTGGGGTCGACAGTATTGTGTCGCAAGCAGTTTAAGAAGACTCGCGATGGTGAAGGAGAGTTGGTAAGCCGACTTCTTGGGTGCCGGAGACTCTGAGCGCTCCATAACCACATCGTCACCGTCGTCATCGCCTGGTTTCCTGTTCTTCTTTTTCTTCTGCGCGGTCGACGAACGGGTAATGCCAAGGATGGGAAGGTCAACTGGCGCGTTCTCAGAGTAGTTCTTCACCAACGCAGCGCTGATGCACGATGCAACAGCGCGTCTCACGGACGACGAGGGACTGTCGATCGCCTTCCAAGCTACATTCTGCAGTTTATCGAAGTCGTTCGAGTTGTCGAAGAAGGTCGTGTGCCGGAGTAGTTGCTCTAAACAGTAGAACACCGCTGTCTGAACAAGGTACGATTTGTCGCTGCCAGCATTGCGCGCCTGCTTCCACGCGTCTCTCGCACTGAGTTCATCGGCGTGCGAGCTAACGCCTTTGAAAACCTTGCCCACAGCCTTGAATACGGCCGCTCGTAGTCCAGTATAGTTCTGCGAGAACTTGATGAGTCCCAGCAGCGACTTGACAGCCAGTGGAGACAGCCCTATAGCGCTATCGCCCGCGGCCTCGAAGATGGCGCCCAGGCAATGCACAGCCGCGTGCTTCGTCCGAACATCTTTCTCGCTCTTTCCTGCCGCGTTGATTATGCCGACTGACTCATTGATGGACTCAAACAGCAGCTTCCTGTCTCCCTTTTCGAATATGCCCGCAATTGCTCGTCCCACGTTGTTTCGGATCACTCGTGTGGGGGCGGGGGACGCGAGGTTGACGATCTGGAATATCTCCTTCTTAATGTATATCTGGTGGGCCGAGGCGCCGTCGCCATCTAAGGAGGCCACATGGCGGGCGAGGTCCGAGCTGAAGGTCAGCAAGTAGAGGTCTTGCTGTTCCGAAGGTAGCGCATGGAGCTTCTTGATGTCGAGTTCAGGGTTGGAGGGGCCTTTGTCCGTGGCTGGCTCGTCTGCTGCCATGGCTGGTGAGGGGATCGCGTGACGTCGGTCTCGTTATCGCAGTTATCGCATCCGGCTGCTCATGTCGTAGCGAGTCTTGACGTGACAGATGTCCAGTGTGGAGATGCCGGTGGGTGCATGTGGGAGTTGCGGACCCCCGTCTTGGCAGGCACGCATCTCCAACTTTTGTACTATTGCGAGCCAACAACCAATATCTGCCTCCATGTCTGTCCCATTACGTCGCGCAGTCTTATCTGCATTTCCCAAGGAGAATGCGATATGCTGCTCTTGTAGATATGTTTCTCGTCCGAGACAGTGGCGCATGCAAGAGCAGGTACGATGCTTGAGCACCACCCCAAATCTACAATCAGGCCACTCGTACGTCAGCTTCGCAATCCAATGGCACACTGCTAACATACTACAGTAAGTGGTCTTCCATCAAACATGACAAAGCCAAAAATGACGCTGGCAAGTCCAAGCAACGGTCTATTATGACCCGCGACATCACCAACGCCGTCAAGCTCGGTGGCCCGAATCCCGACATGAACCCCCGCCTCTCCCTCGCAATCTCGACCGCGAAGAAGTCCGCCGTGCCCAAAGCCTCTATCGAAGCCGCCATAGCCCGCGGACAAGGACTCTCCGCATCGGGTGCCGCCCTTGAATCACTTTTGCTCGAAGCCATCCTGCCGCCCTCCGTCGCCACAATAATAGAATGTCAAACGGACAACAAGTTGCGCACCCTAGCCGACATACGACTACTCATAAAAGAGGCAGGCGGCAGCATCTCCACTGTAGCTTTCATGTTTGAAAAGAAGGGACGGATAATAATACAGAAGAAAGATGGCGTAGGCGTAGACGAGGTGCTAGAGCCAGCCCTTGAAGCCGGCGTTCTAGATGTAGACGAAGACGCCGAGGGAAGAGTCGTGTTATACACCGAGCCTGCGATGACGAACAAGACGGCGGAGAGACTGGCGAAGGAGCTAGATGTAGAAATTGAGGAGAGCGAGATCATCTACGATCCTAATGAGGATACAAAGGTGCCTCTAGAGGACGAGGGTGCGGCTAAAGAGTTGGGCAGCTTCTTGGATGAGCTGCAGGAGGTGCAGGGTGTACAAGGAGTATACATGAACTGGACCAAGGGAAGCATAGGAGATGATGTCTGGGACGAGATAAGAGGCAAGGTCACTGCGTGATCTGTCTCTGACTCCCCAGCCTGGCGTACATTTTGTAGTATACAGTATTGTACAATAACGCCAATAGCGGCGCAGAACGAATTGTGTCTTCGCGCTTGGTATCTCTCAGCAAATATTCCCCACCTCAGATCGTCACTTCTCGTTCGCTCGTACTCGTGGCTCGGTGCCTGTCATGGGGTGTTGTTCGAGTGCATCCAGCATGCTGTCCCGACCTCTCTACTCCTCCCTGCCGGTGCCCAGTTCCCTCAACTTCTCTTGCTCCTCCCTCCTCCTCTTGTTCTCGAGATTCCTCTGCTTCAACCTCTCCAATTCCTTTGCAATCTCGTCTCTATCGTACGGGATCTTGTGCGTTTGGCCGGGCTTGGGCCAGAAATCGGGAACGGTAAATTTACCGTCGAGGTTCGTGCCGAAGTAGTACATGATGCTGATTGGGAAGAGAATGTACATCCCGAACTGGAACTTCTGGTCAGTATATGTTCAAGAGTATTAGGTTCGATTTGGTTCGAGTGCAGGTGGAGTGCAAGTGGAATTATTGGTGTGGTCGCTTTGGACTTCAAAGCGTGAGGCGCTGTAGGAATCCTATCTACGTACCTTGAACACTTCGAGGTTGGGGCCACCCATCTTTGCGGTTGGTAGTCGACGTCGTGTGGTATTTGCGGCGCACTCCGGAGACTTTCGCGCTTGAGTGGAGTGATGATGGAGTCGAAGTTTCGCAGATCTAATCGGTGATGGTTCGGGGATAAGAGGTTAGATCTAATCTTCAGCCTTACCTCCGCGCGTTTCCCCACTTCCAAGCTGGGGAAGCCGCAGCCTTCACATGTGCCTGCAACTTGGAATTTATCACCTACCCTGCTTCTGAACTACTCCCGTATCCATAGTATCTCCATCTCCGTTAAGCAATGAGAACCATCCGCTACACTCCACTCGTCAACGCTGTCGCGCTCGGTTGTCCTAACAATGCCTATCCCGTCTCCGCATTCTAGCCTCGGCTCACTGACATCTCAACTAAGAATCTCTCAAGCACTCCAACAAACATAACCAACCTCGCACCCAAGCATACGTCCAGCTTAAACACCATAACCAACATCTCAGCTCTCCACCATCCAACCCACCACCACCATGTCGTCCCCAGACTCCCCCATCCTCCTCACCTACACCAACAAAACCGCCATAATAACCCTCAACGTGCCCAAAAAACTAAACGCCCTCGACGCAGACACATACTACCTGCTCGCGCGCGCCATGAACGAAGTCGCCGCCCGCTCCGACATCTACATCACCATCCTCACAGGCCGCGGCCGTTTCTTCAGCGCAGGCGCAGACGTAACCTTTGGCTCCACCACCGACAGCAGCGCCATCGACGAGCGGCACCAGTACCTAAAGTCCTTCGTATCCAACAACCTGCACATCACACATGCGTTTTACACGCATCCCAAGATACTCATTACGGCGCTGAATGGACCGGCGGTGGGACTGTCAGCGGCGTTGATCGCGTTTAGCGACTTTGTGTATGCGGCGCCGCATGCGTTTTTGCTTACGCCGTTTAGCTCGCTGGGGCTTGTGGCTGAGGGGAATGCGAGTATGGGGTTTGTGAGGAGGTTGGGTATTGCGAAGGCGAATGAGGCGCTTATTATGTCGAAACGCATCACTTGCGATGAGTTGGTAGCGACAGGCTTTGTCAACAAAGTCATCAATGCTGGCGTCGATGTCAAGGATGAGAGCTACAGTGACAAGTTTCTGGGCGAGGTTAGGAAGGAAGTTGAGGAGAGACTGGGTGATCATCTCAACAGCGAGAGTTTGGTGCTCATCAAGGAGTTGATTCAGAAGCCGTACCGGGAGGCGTTGGATCGGCAGGGCGTGGAGGAGGTGATGGGAGGTTTGCAGAGGCTTTTGAAGGGCGTGCCGCAGAAGGAGTTCGCACGGTTGGCGAGTGGAGAAAAGAAGCATAAGTTGTAGGGTTGCTGAGGCAGTGTTGGTAAGAAAAGGGAGATTTACAGAGCGCACTTGTCACGGAAGAATGTTTGGTAGTTGTAGAGTAGCGGAGCGATGGAGACGTCTTCATCGTCATGCTATGGTCTCTAGCCTAACGACACACCCTCCGTAGCCAACAGCTCTCCACCCAGTGCATCCCCTTGAGTAGGACTCGCAACATCCACAACCGGTCTACTCGCCGTCGTCGTGCTATCCGCCAAATTCTCCAGTGGACTCGGTCGATGCGGCGGCGGTCTGTTCCTCTTCTCCTCCTGTAGCTGGTGCTGCACATAGCTCGTGTACCGCAGCGCAACGAAGAGCATAAACGCACTGACACCGACTGTGATGGCTGCGCGGCGGGTAAGCACCCAGCGGACGCCTTCGACCTCAGATCGCGCATCTGAGTTGAGCGCGACGGTGATTTTGTAGTTGAGTTCTTGGATCTATAGAACATTACTGTTAGTATGTTGCGTCGAAGACGAAATGTGATGAACATACCTTGGTCTCCATGACCCTCTGTTCCTGCCTGACAGCCATCTTCCTGTCGTCGAAAAGCCCCTTAAGCTCGTCTCTGAGATGTGTCGTTTCCTGTCCTAATCTCTGCCCCAGGATATCGACCTCGTGTTGCAATTGCCCTCTTTCCGTGCGCATCCTTTCCATTTCGCCTTTCTTCGCATTACCTATTTCTGTCTTCAGTTCGCTGCACGCGGCTCGGAAGAGATATGTTTCGTTTTCCACGTTGCTTTTGCTGACGAGCTCCTTACGCGCCAACTCCATGTTGTCCAAAAGGGTTTGTCGCACGGCTTTCATTATGGTGATGGATTGCTCGGGGGTGTATGAGGATTGTGAGAGTTTGCGCACGAGACCGTAGGTATCGAAATGGTGCACATATGGCGGTGTCTTCAGGTGCGGTGCCTTGTGCGACTCCTCTTCAGCCGCGGTGGGAATGTGCAGAACGCTGTCGACGGGTTTCGTATCGCTTTTCTTGGGAGGATCAGGCGCCGGCGTTGTTGGCGGGGCGGGTTCTTCTGTTGCGCTTGCTTGAGTGGGTGTGGTTGGACTGGTTGTTGCTGTTGGCGCATCTTCCTCTACTTCTTCGTGTTCATGAACGGGGTCTTGCGGGGGTTTCTCGTTGGACACAGGCTCCTTTTCTTGAGGCTCTTTAGGGGGCTCTTGGTCCAATGCTGGAGCTGCGTGCTCATATGCTTTCCCATATCGCTGTGTGCTCGGTGGCTCCGATTGGCGGGGCGAAGTCGTGAAATGACGGCGTGCTCGTCGCGTGCGGGAAACAGATGGCGATGCACGCTCTTTTGTTATCGACGCGCCTACTCGCGTGGATTTGGTCGGTTGAAATAGCATAGGCCATAGAAACGGCAGTCTTGGGGCAGCCATGTTGTCGTGTTGTGGAAGTTGTGAAGTTCGAGCTCGAGGTGGAATCCTCAGATGCGACTTCGGGTAGTATAGGCCTTGGCGGGGGATCTGCCACCCTGAAGTGGATATCCATGCCGAAGCACCACATTTCGACATCGGAGGGAAGGCATCATCTCAGACTTTTTTTGTCATAAGAGACGGCACAATCCTGCTCACACTATTGCGGTCCTTGAAATATTCTACAGATACGTAACTCATGATTTTAATTTCTGTAATTCATAACCGAAACATCGGTCGTCTTTCGTCATATACAATATAGTAAAAACAATCAGAACTTTTTGACGTAGGCCTGTGCCTGACCAGCAACTCCACGCAATGCTAGTACTCAATCTCCTTGTCATGATACCGTAAAATCAACAAACTTTTGTGAGGTCATAAAACCCCTGGGTATATGTATATGTGTAAGACTTGTCGCAACACCGGAAACAAACAACTTTTGGTCTACAGTATCAAACGTCATGCGAAGAGCTGCTGATGGAACTGCGACTAGTCCCATCGGTGATATGCGTCGCGATGCTCATGCGCTGGAATGGCGAGATTTGGTTTTGTTCGCGAGATGGCGGACTTGACAGTCCCTGACTGCCTGCAGGCGACGAAGGTGGTGGGTGGCTTGGTAGAGCATCATTCGCGCCATAGCGTTCTCGGAGACGCTTGATTTCGCGAAGTCGGTTTCGCCAGGACGATATGGAATCACCACCCTCGCGGATGTACCAAACGCTGGCAAAGACAACGGCGTTAATAGCCATGAGGCGGCAGTAGTCTGCCAGGTACTTTCCGCAAAGAATTTTAGTCTCGACGGCAGGGGATATGTCGGGGAACCCTGGCTTTGAGATGGTCTGGATCTTGTAGTAGCGATTCCTGCCGTCAGGATCTGCGTCCAGTCGACGGTCGACAAAGCTGGCCCTTGACTCTGGAGAAATGACAATATGTACATAATTGAAGGCCGACGGGAACGTGTCGAAGTTGTAAGGTAAGCCAGAGTCGTTGAAAATAATGTTGACAAAGTCGTTGCCAATGTGTCGCTTTTTGTTTGGATACGTCATGTCGTCGTCGGGATTGGTTGGCATCATTGTAGGAATGTGGAAGACAAGCTCCATGCAGCGGTCCCGCCAAGCATAGGTGAACTCGCCATCCCTGTCTTCGCGTGTGTCGAGACCACCAGTATTGAACTTCGCCCCCTTCAGACGGCATAATGTACCTAGGTCACTAAGGAAAGCAGTATATGCTGGGGATCCCATATCGTTCATGAAGATGTCTCTCTCGTTCGTCTGGCCCTCGCCGATGTAGATGACACCGATTTTGTAGTTGTCTACCGTTGCGATCCGGTCGAATACAGTAATAGCACGGCGTGTCGGCTCGTCATCGGGTAACGGAATAGGTGGATTGCTCAGGTCGAGTGGGGCGTAAAATGACTGGAAGATATCGTCTGGCAGAATGCCGACATAGGTGTTGGAGTAGAATGCTTGGGAAGCAAGGCCGATGGTGATCGGAACTTGATGTCGTGGTGGCGACGTGATCAAGGGCCGTACTTTGATAAAGCGGGTACCGCACTGCCAAAAGTTAGTAGACGTACTGACAACACACAAGCAGAAAGACTTACCGGCCGGCGTGTCGTGACAACAGAGGCACCGGTTCTTGCAGCGGTCTCTATTGTCACAAGAGCATTACCAACGATCCATGTCTTCTTCCAGACTTCTCCATCGCCAGGCTTGAAGGAACTTTCCTCGCGTGTTGTTTCATCGCGATCTGTATATGCTACCATGTTCATAATGTCCAGAATGACCTGTCCTTGCTCCTCCATAATTTGCCGTCCGGAGCTGTCGGTATAGTGTAGATTCTTTGTGATCCATGGTATCTGCTTTGGGCGGTCCTCCATCTTCAACGCCATGAACCAAAATGTGATGACGTAATACGCGAGGGAATATAGATACTGAGGTAGATCGTCCTCGACGCTTCTTGGCTTGTTGGCCCCAAGATCGGGCGATGCCGCAAAGTCTCTTGATGCGCCGCTGTGTCGCAATGTCCGATGCCCGCTTTGTAGCGAATGCCCGTTCGCTGTCCGGTCACGCTGGTCGCGTATGTGTTGTAAGTACCGGAAGCATACACCGAAAACTAGCTTGAACTCGTCTTCGCGGAAGTTCTTGAAAAGTTCTGGAAGACGAGCCAAGGAGGTGAGGAATTCCAATATGTGTATCGCTGTAGCTGGCTTCGTGATGATTTGCGACATTTTCTGGACGATGCTATCGAGTGACTTGCTGACCGACAGTGGTATTTCGAAACAGCAGACTGAAAGTGCGTGGATGCACCATTTTGACGTTCTGTCCCACTGCACGATCCCTTGTAGGAAGGCCTTCACAAGATCATCTTCCTCGCTCTTTTCGAAGTACTCGTGGTAGCTGATGATGATTGTTAATATATGAAATAGGCAGACGGCAACATCAGCCTTTTTCAGGAGCGTGTGCGGCGGTGGTTCGTGGAAGCTTGCATTCCGTACTTGTTCGCAGAGAACATTTCGTAACATTTTGAGCTGGGCGACACAACTGCGGACCAACGCTTGGTTGGAGAGCTGAGGCCCAAGATGAACGAGTACGTAGCTATAAATCTCCCAATCGGGTGGTCTCTGTAGGAGTGAAATGATCAACTCCAGCCACAATGTGACTTCCATGTCCAGGATATCATCGCTGAGAGGGTATTTCTCCGCATCAATGTGGGAGAAGACGACGCGACTAGATTCAGATGGCGGTTCCTCGGGAAGTCCTTTGGGGCCAGGGTACATCCACAAAGGAGGTATCGGCTTTGATACGCGGCCCGCGGGGGCATTCGAGCGGCCGGTGTGGCGATTGAGAGAAGAACGAGGACTTGAACCAGAGGTTTTGCGTTGGTCCCGCCACGAAGAATTGTCTTCTGATCTGTTGTGATCGGATGTTGGACCATCTTCAAATTTTTCTGGCGCAATAGCTGTTTCCTCTGTACGGCAGAGCTCTGCGGCAATCCGCTGACCTTCCGATGAAGAGCTAACTATCAAAGCATGGCGGGCGTCGGCGCGCAAACGAAAGAGTAACTTGAGAGCTGTAAGGCGTGCATCATGCGCGTATGCATCTCGTCCAGCAATCTGTCTTAGGAGCTCGTAAAGGATGCGTGTCTTTTGGGCCGAATGTGTCACGCTCCGAGTGAAAAGCCGTACATAGGCAGTGGCGATGACGTTACAAGGGGAGCATCCATCTTCTTTGAACAGAAATTGGTGAGACTGCCATGACGGTAGCGAAGGTGTAGATGCAGTCCGTGGGCGGTCCAGACGCCGCTGCAAGACTTGAACAATCTCGGAGAACCGGGCGGTCGATTCTCGATCAGCTACGTACACCGCGAAATCTACTAGTTCCTGCAGAACTTCAATGTCATCTTCCATTTCAATCCGGTCCAAAAGGAGTTCTTCTGACTGCGATACTGTTTCGCTGGAACACAGCATCTCGACGGCCTGGTTAGTTTCCCGTAATGATCGGAGCACAAGCAGTCGGAGCGAGCGTGGTCGTGTGGTGTCGTTGAAAATGCCAGCG